CTTGTACCGAAAAGAAAAAAAAAAAGGACATTTAAAATGTATAGCATAAATATAAAACAAAATGGTATTCCTATGTTATATAAAGAATGATAAATTTTAAGGCATTGATTGAATAATTAATTCCAAAGATTTTCTAAAAAACTTATAATATTTCAGATTATGGTCATGCCTTCCAAAATTGATTGTGGGTTGATTTATTTCTCATTTTAACAAGATCCCATACTTAATATATGCTTAATTCCGATTGTCGACACAATATTACACCGAATGAACAGACGTTAATATTGGAGTTAAGAAGTTGTGAATCATCTCGATTGGAATAAGTGATGGAGCAGCCTTATGCCGAAGCGGTAATCAAATAAAATAATAAGACGGTTTTTCTTACACATATTCTTTTATATAATACTGCAATTTGTTATGTAACATTTGAATATTTGGAGGGTTGTTGTGTTTGCAGAGTTGCGTTCTGAAGGTAAACATTCATTGCCAGGCATGTAAATATAGGATGCTTGAAGTTCTTGGTTCGGTTTGTGGTAATTTGTTCACCTTCATCGGATTTTTGGCTCTTCTTTAATTTTCAATTATTATTAATAATTCTCGCAGGAATATAATTTTTTTTGTTTTATAGGAGAATATAACATCGACATAAACAGTGAAGAAGGATTGGTGAAAGTTTATGCAATGGTTGAACCGAACCTACTTGTGAAAGCCTTAGCAAGAACCGGTTATCATGCCGAGGTCAAATGGGCCAACATCAAGCACCCCAGATTTAGCAAAAATTACTACGACAATTACCATAGCTATCCTCAAATCGGGTACAATTATGGATCAAATCACAACCCGTATCCGTATCAATATCATCATCAACAACATGCCTTGCCCTTGCCGGATCCAATGGCCCACCACCATTATTCCGTATCAACTCCTTATAATCACCATGGATGGGACCCGTATAATTACGGGTCGGACCCGTTTTATTACAGGTCGGGCCCACCACGCGCGAGGTACGTGCCGTCTTATCCGCCCAGGGAAAATGACCCGTATGATGATGATGAACCCATTAGTTTGTGCAGCATTATGTAATTTTCCTAAGTTAAGTATATATGGATGTAACTAGATTAATTATATCACGATGCTCATCAGTTGAATTCGTCTGATTAATTTCGTTTTCTTGATTTGAATATATATATATATATATATAGGTGGTCTAATGCGTGCTCCAGGCCCGGACCTTTTCGACTCTAAAAACATTGGCAGATTTTTGTGGTTAGTTATTTTCGACGATTTAATCGTATGAAATAAATTAAATTTTCCTATTTTAAGAATATTCTGTTGTCGAAATTTCTTCTCAGATTGTGCTGCGATATTATATTTGAATTTGGAATGTGATTTCATTTTTTTTTCTTTTTGTTTACGGGAGCTTTTATCAGTACCGTTATTGATAAGCTGAGTATAAGGTGCATAAATTATCCTCATTATTTTGAGGCCGAGTATACGGTGCATAAATCCACTCCCTTACATATTGATTGGCTATCTATATCAACTTTTTTTCCTTTTTATTTTCTATCTTGTTATATTTCCATTTTTTCCTCATTATCCGTAAATAATGAAAGAATTTTCAATTGATTGTCAATCAAATATCAATCTATGAACATGTTAAACCAAAGTAAATAAATGGAAAATACTTAAATCTAAAATGGAAAATTAGAGTGTAAATAATTTTTATCATTAAAGGTGCAACTGAAAGTATTTTTAAACACATATATTCCTCAATATATTAATTATTATTTTTATTTATTTAATCGATTATTATTTTACTAGATCACACCATCATTAATTATTATTTCTTTATATCATAAAAATAATTCATCCATTAACTATATTTCTCCAATAGAACATACTTCACTTAAATTAAAGCACATATATACAT